AAATAGACAGTCAATATAAATAATTAATTGTCAGGTCAAATCAGGGAGACCAGATTTGGGTGACTTCAAAAAAAGTTGGAGACTGTTACCTGAGGGATTAAAATTCCCTCAGTGCTCTTCCCCTACCCTATCAAAGATTTGAAAGGGACACATAAGAAAAGGGGGGTATGATAGACCCAACCTGATTGTCTCTTAAAATTGGGAGCCATCTCACCACAAAGACATGAACAGATAATTTTGGTTTTACTATAAATTACTGCAAATTCTGAACCTGCTTGGAATGCCTGCCTGTGCCTTGAACTCACCCATGCCTGGCGCTCTGACCAGATAGCAGCCCTCTCTGAAACTTTAGTGATGCCTCATCAATCTTGGCCTTCCCTGGCCAGATAATGACCCTCTCTGAGGCTCTAATGACCTTCATAAATTCTGATGTCAGGGCCAGCAATAACGTAAACTAGCCTCTGTGTTATGCTCCTCAGAGTTTTGTTATCTGTAACCCCCCTTCGTGTAACTTTCTGGGCTATAAAGCTGGGCTGCAAGAAAGCTGCAGGGCTGTCTTGTTCCCATGGTTTTTGGTCGGAGAGGCAGCCCAGCTGGTTGAAATAATAAGCTTGCTTTAATTTTATTTTAATTGGAGTCAGTGGTCTTTTCTTGCGTCCTGGTCTAACAGGTTTTCCTCATGGAGATAGATGTCCCATCACTCTTGCTGCCCAGCAATGGGATCTGTGGTCATTTCTCACTTCCCATAGCCAAAGATACCACCAAATTCTCCAATTCTTATCTGACTGACTCCTGATACTTGTCTACTAGTCAATGAATCTACAAAAAAAGAAAGAAAGAAAATCATTTTTTCTTCTTTCTGTCTTTTTTTAGTATCTATCCTCATGATGAGGCTCTTTGTCAGGAAAAGAGTCCAGAGAACATGCAATAAACTCAGTTGCCTGTCAATACACAGTTGGCTGAGAGGAGCACAGAGCTGAGGAAGCCAGAACCCAGCCCATTGGAGGGGATCCATCTTATAGGCAAGTTTCTATTTCATCCAGTCAGAAACATATTTTAGACTTTAAAATCTCTGAAATTGGACTTTATCTTACAACAATGAGGTCTTCTACTGGATACAACACAGTAGCCACATCACAAAGCAGCACTATGACCTGTGAACAGTGCGGCACTTATGGCAATCAGGACAGTGGTCCAAAATCAGGCTGTGATTAGAATCACCTGGGAAACCACTTAAAATACTTAGACCATCTGAGCCAAGGGTGGAGTGGGTGTGGTATTTTGCGAATCACCCCAGGTGACTCCAGCATGCAGCCAAGGTCAAGAGCCCCAATGGCAATTTCACACTAGAGTACACCTTCCCCAGAGCACCAGGAGGCTCTCCTAGGGGCATGCCTATATGGATGCTTTAGGGCAGGGGTCAGCAACCTAGTGCCTCTGTTCTGCTCCCCCACCACTCAGGAAGCTAAGATGATTTTTACACTTTCAAGTAGTTGGGGGAAGCAATAAAAATGGGAATAAAAATTTGGGACAGGTGAAAATTATATAAATTCAGATTTAAGATTTTGGGAACACGGCTACACTCCTTTGTCTGTGGCTGCTACAAGGGCAGAGTTAAGTAGCTGGGGCATTTGAATCTGAAACATTTATGATCTGATCCCTTACAGAAAAAGTGCACTGATCCTGTCTTGGAGGGAAAGGGTTTCCAGAATCTCAGCATCCCTGTGTCCTCTCAGGAATTTACTTGCTTGGGAAGCTACCAGCTGTCAATGTGGCAGGTGTAGATGGAGACTCCCTCCTTTCCCAGCCTGTTTTTATTCTTATCCTTCTCCTGCTTTCAGAAGGAAAGTAGGCCTCTCACCAGTCTGGAGTATGAAAAATACCCCAGACATGAGATAAAGGAATAATCTCCAATAGCGGTGTCTAACAGGACTCTGATTGTCAGGTAAGTAGTTAAACAAATGGATACTTTCTTTTTGCAAGTCAAATGTGTTCCAATTATTGCCTTTCCAAAAACAGAAGGACCCAATCAAGTTTTCAGCAACCAAATCATTAAAAATACTTATTGAGGGGCTGCAGATATAGTCAGTGGTATAATGCTTGCCTCACATAAAGGAGGCCCAGCGTTCAATCTCCATCCTGGCAACAAATACAAAACAAAAATAACCTACAGATGGCTATGTGATTTTTCTAAAGGTGCTCAAAGAATTGAGAAACATGGTCATATCAAAACCAAGTCATAATCATTTAGGCAAGCAAGTTTTTTAAGGCTTACATCTAAAATATTACTAAATGCTGAATGTTGTCTCATTCTATTAATAAGCAATATTCATCCATAGATACATGAACAATTAAGTGTTAGGTCGGTGGCAGCGACTTGGTGGCGACTTAGTGGCAACTTAGAACAAAGCAGCCCGCTCTGCTTTGAACATCAATCAGATGCCGGCGGAAACGCCTGTCAATCAGCCAGATCTCCTGACTAACGCCTGTCAATCAGCAGGACCCCCTGGCCAATCCTGGAGTTCAGCCAACACCCCTGACCAACTCCAAGGGGGCAAGGGACCCTAGAGACACCTTTTCCTGTCCCAAGCCCTTCCCTTCCTGCTGTAAGCCCCATAAAAGTCCAGTCCGGTGGAGCTTCCACTCAGTTTCTCTTCAGACCCTTCCCCTGTCCCCTCTGTGGGTCTGATTGAGTTCCGCCCGGGAGTGATATCTCAATAAAGCCTGTTCAGCGGCCCTTTTAAATCTGCCAACTTTGGTTGCTGCCTGCCCAGCCTGATCTGACATTAAGGAAGAAAAAATCCATTCATCTCATTAAGAGTGAATTTCAAATAATTTTATTTTTATGTTTAACAGTTATTTATCAATTTGGGCACAGCAGAACATGGGTGTCTATAATCCCAGTTACTAGGGAAGAGGATAGAGAGCACTTGAGCCCAGGAGTCAGAAGGCTAACCTGGGCAACCTAGAGAGACCTGTCAAAATAATAATAACTTGTCAACATGCATTTTCTACATATCATATTAGGCTTGATTATGTACTAATTGTAATTAGTTAATGAGGGGTTCAACTCCCCACTGGCTGTGGCCAGAGGCTCTCTTAATTCCCACTACTTGAGTGTCTCCCAGTCTGGCTTGCCTGGGAGAAAGAGGCCGAGCAACACAAAACCATGGTGTTTCTGTAACCTAATTTTTTTAAGTGACAGTGCCTTATCCTACTTATATTCTATTGTTGGAACCAAATCATTATGATCTGTTACCCCCCAAGGGGAGAGCAATTACAAAAGGGGGTGAATATAGGGAGGTAGAACTTTCAGGAGCCATCTAGGATGCTGCCTACCACAAATGTCAAGTTTTTCATAACACTTCCTCGACATCTGATTACACTTAGGGTGATTTTTTTTTCTGTCCTATTAAAAATGTATAAAAGGATGCAGTTTTTCAAAATTCTTTCAGAGGGACTGGGGATGTGGCTCAATGGTACAGTGCCTGCCTACCAAAATTCTTTTAGAAATAAGCAAAATATATTAAGGCCAATGACTGGCTGAACTGTTCAATCAGTGGGTCCTGTCCTGCAGGCAGAGCTCACTGGGATCCTGGCAAGGGGTCTACCAGCAGCCAGGAAAGGATGAGGATGCTTTGGACAGTGAGAAAAGCCACCGCCCCAGACATGGAAGCTCCTATCCAGGTAGGTAGAAAATGCAGGGAAAGGTTAAATGAGTCTAGATTCTGTGGGCATCAAAGGCCAGACAGTGGCATTCAGACTTGGTAAGGAAGGAAATGAGGACACTGGTGGGACTTGGATAGAAGAAAAGGATAAAAAGTGCAGTTGTGTGAGGACAAGTGTGACCAGAGCATGGAGGCTGAAACAGGAGAGGAGTAGGCAGGAAGTAAGAAGGACTTGAGGGAGTGGCAGGAACCAAGGGGAGGGAAAAACAGTGGCCTGCTGGGAGGGTCTTAAAGGGTCCAGAGGAGACGATGCAATGATACACGTGGTGGGGAATGGATGGTGAGAAATGGACACTAATTACAGATGGGTTGTCATTTAGGATGGTATGACTCATAGCTTATGGTTTTTCACCTTTAGAATGGTTCAAAAGCGATTTGCATTCAGTGGAAACTGTACTTTGGATTTTGAGTTTTGACCTTTGCCAGGCTAGTGGTATGTGATTGGAAATCGGATGCTGAGCAACCAGCAGGCCAGCTCCCCTGTCAGGCACCTGATTTCAAAGGTGAACAGTGAGTGAACAACCAAGATGTTCGGTAGGCTAGGTGTATTAAATGCATTTCGTTTAGCACGTTTTCAATTTATGGTGTATTTATTGGGACAGATCTCTTCTTCTGCAGAGTAGCCCCTGTAGATGTAATTAGCTGACGGACAGTCCTGATTGACAATATGCAGCACACTTGACCGCTGTGAGGGCACAGTGGTAGGAGATTAGGAACTGGACTTCCAGCAGGCTAGGAAAAGACTGCTCCCTCCTCCTTCCCCATCCTAGAGTTGTTCCTCCCAGACTTTTGAAAGAGAAAGAAAAACTTGATACTGTAGAGTGAGAAAATAGAGTGGGGAGGGGAAGGATGAAAAGGAACTGGTGTTAAGAAAACGGACTTCCCTGAGTCCCGAGTTGGGAAGTCTGGACCGGAGCGACAGCAGAGGAGTAGCGGGAGGATTAAAATCCACTTTGAACACTTGACAGAGATTACTTTTGGGAGCCAGCCAAGGCTGGAGAGCCAACGACCGCTCCCTTGCTTGCTCTGCTGACTTGGCACTGCAGGCGGGGCAGCGGGGCTCTCGCTGCAAGTGGGTGCGGTGGACTCGGATGGGGTGCACCTGGGAGACGCGGGAAGGCGGAGCCAAGGGAGAGACTGCTCCGCAACAACCCCTGGACCTTGCTGGAAGCCGGAAGCTGGCGGAGTACCAAGGACTTAGGCCGCTCCGTGGCAGGGAGAGGAGCCGTTCCCCACTTGTGGCCTCAGATCCCCGGCCACTGTGCCAGGGCCATGGGCGATCCGCTTTGCCGGCCGCGCGTCGTTCCGGGGTCCTGGCTGGAGCTGCTGCTGCTCCTACTCCAGCTCCTGAGCGCTCCAGCTCCGCGTCGCGCCTACCTGAGGCTCTTGGATTACCCGGTCCCCATCTGCTGGCAGCAGGTGAGGTCCGAATGCGTCCCAGAGTCCCCGCCACAGTGAGGTGGCTACACGGGCAAAGGCCAGGCGAGGCCGGCAGCCTGGGACTAGGGCCAACAGGGTTGGGAATCTGAAAGTCTGCGCTGGAGTCTCAGAGGGGGTTGGAAACCTGGCACAAAGATCGCTGCGCTCCGAAGTTCACTGGGAGAGATGGGTGTTGCAGTGTGGCCCCAGAAGAGGGATTTGAAGGGGAAAAGTCTCCCGTCACACCCGTGACATCGCTAGGCAATGGGAGTTTCTTAGCTCCACTATAATCTTAGGCACCATTGTCATATCCGTGGTGCTCAGTGACCAAAGTGTCATTATAAAGTTCATGACCACGATTACTTTAAAAGAATGTGGTCAAGATTAAATGACGTCAGTGAATATTAGCTGCTATCAAAAATCATCCAGAATTAAATTGTATGTGAACTGTACTTCCATACAACAAATTATCTTTAAAAAATTGATTTTAATTATTCAAAAAGAAATTCATTAACTTTGTTAGCTATGGTGGATGTTGTGATTATCTTAATATTTATTCATACATACTTAAGTATTTACATACATACATACATACATACATACGTATTTACAGATAGATTACATGATATCTGGGATTCACTTTAAAATACTTGAATATAAAGAGCTGTTAGAGATAAAACAAAAATTGTTGAAGTTAGGTGATGGACAGTGTCTTTTATACATTTGCTCTGTTTTTGTGAAAGCTTATTTTTTTTCCAAAATATGAAGTTTTTAAATAGCCATTTAATATTTTTGTCAAAAAGATTAGAGTTTCGGGGCTGGGGCTGGGGCTCAGAGCAGTCGCCTTGCACTTGTGAGGCACTGGGTTCGATCCTCAGCACCACATAAAATAAATAAAATAAAGGTATTGTGTTCATCTAAAACTAGAAAAATGTTTTTTAAAAAAACATTAGAGTTCCAAATTGATAATTTTTATTATAATGAGTAGCTGTAAGAGAAAATTTCTTAGCAAATACTTTTGAGAAACAATACTTGCTTCAGTATAAGGATATTTTAACAATGAGTGGCAAACTTGAACTATGGAGAGAACATTCAGACTGTTTGGAAATAATCACTGTTACATGATTTTGTATATAGAAATGTTATGGCTCCCTATAAAATTCTCATATCTGAATGATTTTTTTTTAAACATGATCATCTGCATTGTCATGAACATACTCCTGTGGTTTCTGAAAGGTACTTAACATAAAGCCATTCACAGCAGGTAGCTGATAAATAATGTTCTTGTCTTCTGTTTTTGTTTTTGTTTTGTTGTGGGGTTTTTTCCTTTTCTTTTTTTTGGTACCAGGGATTGAACCCAGGGGCGATACTCCTGCCTCAGCATGCCAAGCACCTGGGATTACAGGCCTGTGCCACACACCCACCTTGTCTTGCTATTTTTGAAGAATGGGACTTGATTTTTTTCCATAGTTGCCTTTCATCCTTTCTCCTCCTCCTCCTCCTTTTCCTTCTTTTTCTATTCCTGGGGTCAAACCCAAGGCCTAATGCATTTCAAGCACATATTTTACCATTAAACTATATCCCCAGCCCCCCAAATGGGAAGTTTAATGTAAAGAGATTAGGGATGACTGTTGGGGAGGAATTTCTTGGACACAAGGAGATCTGCCTTATTATACAAAGACAATCCTTAGTGCATTTTTTTTACATTATTCTGTATAGAAATTAAATAATGAGGGAATTGTTTGTTTAGTGAATACACTATTTCCACACCCCCCCCCCCCAATTGCTTTCATTTGTTTGTGTAATTTTTCAACTATTTTTATTTGTTTGGGGCAATATCATAGATAAACCTCTATGGCACAACTCTCATCCCAGATGTCTGTCATGTTCAAATCCACCAGGTCCTGGTGAAGCCAGATTTAAAGATAGGTAGTTAGTGTAGATAGGTAAATCGGGTCTAATATCGAGTCCAATAAAGAAAATGGAGTTTGATCTGAGCCCAGGAAACCAGAAGGACACCTGGGAAATTCGGTCCTAAAGAACTGTTAATAAAGCAGCTCCCAGCAAAACAGGGAGATGTTAATCAAACCACCCTAGGCCCTTCCTGCCCAGATCACTCCTCCCTGCCCCCTAGGTCCACCTGTTTCCCACCTTTTGGCCTTCCCACCTTCATCCCCCATCACACGGAGGACAGAGGGAAATAAAGGACAGGAATGTGGGAGAAAACCTTAGATATAAAAGAGGAAAGACCTCCTCTGGAAAGGATTCCACCTTTCAGGTCCCCTTCTTCCTAGGGGGTTGGGGGTGTCCTTTCTGCTGTCCTTTAATAAAGCCCCCCACTTTCCACTCTTCACTTGCCCTAGTGTGCTTCCCTGGCGTTATACTTCAGCATTGGGGGAAGCAAGGACTCCGCCGTTACACTGGACCCTGTGTCTTTCTCCTGCACATGCCCCTGCAATTTCCTAAGTATATGAGCAATATAGATATATAATATGGGATATAGATGAGATACGTATTTTTAAGTCTTTGCATGTCTGAAAATATCTTTAGTGTACCCTTCATCTTTTTTGGGGGGGCTAATGTGGCTAGAAATTTTAAAAATCTAAGTTAAGAATTCTGTTCCTTCAGAATTGCTTTGTTGCCTTCAGCAAACAATAGAGATGCTAAGATATCCTATTCTGTTTCCTGGCTCTTCATATCACACCTAGCCCTTTTTCTTTTTCCTCTGGAAACTTTAGGATCCTCTTTTTATTTCTGCTGTTTCGATGGCTTCATGATATTGATCCTTGGTCTGGTTCTTTATTTTCTTTATTTGTTGTGCAGGCCATTGAATAGAGCTTTTTCACTGGGCAGTGCGTGTCTTTCAGTTCCAGACTGTCCTTTTAAAAAAAAAAAAATTTCTTTAATTTTATTATTTTTACCTGTAACTGAGAAACTGATGTGACTCCATTTTTGGAAATAAATAAATAACAGCAGCTTCTATCTCAAGGCCTGTCCTAAGGAAGGAGGTGTGACCCTTGTCCTTGGAAAAACCCACAGAGCCTTTCTAGGCACATACCCACCCTGCTGAGTTGTTTGTCTGCAAATAACAGGAGAGATCTGCAGTGCCAGGTGTCCCTGACTCAGTTAGGTTAGGTGAGGACCCATAGCAACCACCAATCAGCATGAGACAGGGAAAATACCTGGGATGCCTGTAGTTTATGGTGGTTGATACCATGTCGGGAAACCATGTCGTTTAGCACGTACACCCCTCATGGTTTAAACCAATCAGTTCAAAGGAATCCCCCTCTTGTACTAACCAATCACTCCTACCCAACTTGTATCAGCCAGTGAATGTGCTAATCAATGTTAAGAGTTGTTGTTTTGTAAGGGTAAAAGAAATTGAAGTTAAAGTGTAAAAGTTAAAGTATAAAAGACCAGGCATTGTAAAGTTTCTAAGCTCCAAGGCCTGAGTTAAAATGTAAAGGACCAGGTATTGTTAAGTTCCTAGGCTACATGTAAAACCTGAAATTCCTGTAGCTGTTAAGACAATACTCGAACTGCCCAGTAAATATTCCCCCTGACCATCTGGTTGTTTAATAACCCAGGACCCTGTGCGATCTTGCACGTAGGCATCACAGGGCCTGAACCAATCAGTTTGAATGTGCACCCCGCTTTAGAACTGACCTATCACCCCAGCCCGACCTATTCCCACCAATGAATGAACTAATCATGTCTCAGAATTATTGTTTGATTTTCCCGCGGTGTATGATGATTTGTTAAAGGAGACTGTGATGTATGTAAAATCCCCGCCCTCCCCAAAAAAGTGTATTTAAGCAGTGCTCAGCCCCTGCTCGGGGCTCTGGGCTGCTTTCTCTTCTTGAGTGGGCACGGAGCCCCAGCATGCTGGATCAATAAATTCCCTTCTGCCAATTGCATGAGTGGTCTCTTGGTGGTCTCTCCCTCTGACGCTTCGCCGGTCCCCTACAGTTTGACTTTCCCGTGGTGTGAAATGATTTGCTGTGTGATGTTGTGACACATAGAGTATCCCCCCAAAACCTATAAAATCTCACTGAACAAAGGACCCGGACTCACTCCCTGTGACCGCTGCGTCGGAAACGGTTGTGAGTCCAGGCTCGAGCTTGCAATAAAGACTCTTGTGTGATTGCATCGGATTTGACTCCTGGAGGTCTATTAGGGTCCCACGAATCTGGTATTACATAACCTCTTTTGGGAAATCCAGTTAATCATATTTTGTATTTCCTAAATTGATTCTCTGATCTTCATATGTTTATCTTCTATTTCTATCTGCATTTGCTCTGCTGAAGCCAGAATTAGACAGGCAGTCAGTATAGAGTCAGGCCCATTTTGAGTGAGTTTTGGAGACTGGCCTGCAGGACTGAAATGTTAATTCCTTCAGAGCTCTTCCTCCACCCTTATCAAGAACCTGCCCCTGCTCCAACCTGTTGCTAAGATAACCTGTCCCAGGAATTGCCCCTCCCTACAGGGAGCTATAAAGTTGTTAATGTGTTCTGGGCTGCACCATCCTGCCCTTCCCCCTTCAGCCCACCTGTTTCCCACCTTTTGGCCATCCCACTTTCCTGGCCATCCTAGTCACATTGTAGGAAGGAGAAAGATGAGAGGAAGAGGGAAAGAAAACAAAGGAAGCCTAGGGCATATAAAAAGGGCGGAACACCTCACTTCTTGGAATACCAGGATATCAGCCATGTCCCCCTACTCCCTCCCAAGAGAAGTCTATGTTACCCCTTTTTAAATAAACCCTCTTTTATATGCTTGCCTCAGCGTGCTTCAAACTTCAACATTTGAGGGAGCAGAACTTGTCACCCGTAACCAGCGGTATCACTACCTTCAAAGAAATCTCTCTAATTTTATAGCCCAACACTCCTTGTGATTTTTTTTTCAGTGCTGGAGGTGGAAGCCAGAGCCTCACACATGCTAGACAAGTGCTCTACACTGAGCCGCAGCCCCTGAATTTTTTTTTTGTTTTCCAGGATCATTTTCATTCTCTGATTATTCATCTTGTCTTTGTCTTATGAACGCAGTGTCTTCTCCTTTCATTTGTTTGTTTTCATTTTATTCTGTTCCAAGCATTATCTTCTTTCCTCCAGGAGCATTTTTTTAAATAAAATTTTTAAAAATTTTTTTAGTTGTAGTTGGACACAATATCTTCATTTTATTTATTTATTTGCTTTCTTATTTATTTACTTACGTGGTGCTGAGGATCGAACCCAGCGCCTTGCACATGCTAGGCAAGAGCTCTACCACTGAGCCACAGCCACAACCCCTCCAGGAGCATTTTTTAAATTCTGTTTTGATCTATTTTTCATTCAGGAAACCCATCTCAATTATTGGGTCCTCCTTGAGAATATTTTAAGAAGAAATACTAAAAAGCTTGTGGAGTGCTCCTGTGCACTTGGGGTTAAGGACAGGGGACATCATTGTGTGGGAGGTCAGGCTGATGATGGGCCTGGCCTGTTGGATGGCTGTCATGTGTTGGAATCTGGAGGTGTTTCCTCTGGGCCTGACTGCCAGCAGTCTGAGCTCAGGATGTAACTGTTTACGTGACGTGACATGACGTGACGAGTCCTCGCTTCCCTGAATGCTGAAGTATAACACCAGAGAAGCAGGCCTGGGAAAGTGCGGAGTGGAAAGTGAAAGGCTTTATTAAAGGATAGCAGAAAAGACAACCACCCCCCAACCCCCCACCCCGCCCGCCCCCCAAGAAGGGGAAGGATAGGCAGAATCCTGAAAGAGAAGGTCTTCTCCCTTTTATACCTAACGTCTTCTTTTGTCTTCCCACATTCCTGACCTTTATTTCCCTCTCTCCTCTGTGTGATGGGGGATGTAGGTGGGAAGGCTAAAAGGTGGGAAACTGGTGGACCTTTGGGGAGGGAAGGAATGATCTGAGCAGGAAGGGCCTAGGGTGGTTTGATTAGCATCTCTCTGTTTTGCTGGGAGCTGCTCTATTAACAGGCCTTGGGGACATTAATATTTCAGTTTCCCAGGTGTTGTTCTGGTTTTCCCAGGGCTCACATCCTGACTTCATTTTCTTTATTGGACTCCATATTAGATCCGAGTTACCTATCTACCCTACCTACCTATCTTTAAATCTGGCTTCAAGGACAGGTTCCTACATTCCCCAGGGGGACCTGCACTCCATTCTGCAGCCTTCAGACATGAGTTCCTCTGTTGCCCAAGCTATTTACCCCCTTCTCCTTCTGTTTTGACTTTTAAAAGTGTTCACATCTTTTGCCCACTGAGGTTGCCTCTTTGTCCTTCAGAATTTGGAAAAATTTTCCCTTTCCTATAATTTTTATATGGTGGGAGGAAAAGGAAAAGAAAATATTCAACCTAGTCCATGTACCGTGACCTTTAATGGAACACGTGGCGGTCACTCCTCAGGAGAATGGTTTCATTTACTGAGCCCTGGGTTGGATCCCAAGCCCCCCACATTTCTAGTAAGTTTATAGGGACTTAGAGGATTTCCCATAACTGATCTGCTTCAGGACTCATGATTTGGCTTTTACCGCTCCCAAAGGTTGGAAGCTTCCAGAGATTTGGGAACTTTTTCACTAGGGTGCCCCAAGGCAAACCTCTCAGTGTCTTTTAAAGTTGTAAAGTTCCCAGCTTCTAACAGTTACTCATAAAATCTCCACTTTCATTTTGCCATCTATCATGCCCCTTCCCCTTGGTTGGCCAGGATGAAATAAAGGTGGGAAAAAGACCCCCCAGAGAGATCCCCAAATGTGGAAAGGGAGAGCTGTGTAAGTTTTATCCCCAAAAATGAGCTTGGGAAGGTGTCTGGAGTCCAGCAGTGCATGGGTTAAGTTCTTTCTGCTGTAATTACCACCTTCTTTCTTTCCACAGGGGCTAAGCTGCAGAGTCAAGAACAGTAAGTCCTCTTTTTTTGTCCTCTTGTTACTTTGTTAATACTGTGATTGGCTTGTGCTATTTCTGGCGGCAGATCTGCAGCCCCTCTACAAGTTCAGGCTGTGGTGGTCTCAGGCCACGCCCCAGGTGTGGGCACCTGTGCTTCCTATGGAGAACATTCACATGCAGAAGTTGGGCAGTGAGAAACCCTGCTGTCATCTGGATTTTGAAAGTATTTTCTGATGTGCTGCCCTAGGGTACCTTTAAGACAATTTGGTCTGCCATGACTTTCACTGTAAATAAAGTAAGATGGCTGTGGTCTATGGTGTTAGTTGATTTGGTTTGGTTTTGGTTTTTGGTACTGGGAATTGGACCCAGGGGCATTTACCATTGAGCTACATCCCAGTACAGTTTTTTTTTTTTTTTGAGATAGGGTCTTACTAAGTTGTTATGCTTGGCCTGGAACTAGTGATCCTCCTGTTTCAGACTCCTGAGTTGCTGGGATTAGAGGAGTGCACCATGATGCCTGGTTTTGTTTTGTTTTTTTGGTGCTGGGCATGGAACCCAAGGCCTCACATAAGCTGGTCAAGCCCTCTACCACTGAGCCACATCCCCAGCTGCTTGGCTTGGTTTCATTCAAGGAAGAGGCACATACTTCTTGTGTCTGTGCTGATTAGGGACCCCGAAATGTAAAAATCAGCTCTAACCACTGCCCATGATCCTGTGCCCCATTTCCAACTCCTGCTTCTACTCAAAACCTATCTTCCCAAATTGCCCTTTAGACTCAGAGCTTTGTGTTTACCCCAGATCAGAAAGAGTAGGACCCCAGGGGGTTTCGAAAGCTGGAAGGTCACAGGCCCTGAACCATTCAGGAACTAGCTCTCTGGGCCTCCTGGGGATAGGAAGGGTGCCATCTCTGATTGTTGCTTCTCCCTGGCTACCAGGTACCTGCCTGGATGACAGCTGGATCCACCCTCAGAACCTAACTCCAAACTATCCAAAACATGTCCAGATCCAACTGCGCCTTGCCAGAACCCAGCAGGGAGACCTGGTCCCTGTGGTGCACATCGAATGGACACTGCAGACAGATGGTGAGTGGGCCTGTCAGCCAGGCCCTGGGATCCCACCACGTCCAAGTGAATCCACAGCTAGACATCACCTCCCATTCAGACTCAGAATTAGGCTCTGGTCCTGTGCTCAGACATGAAGGCTGCAATTCAGTGCTGGAAGGACCCATCAATCGTTCTGCCAATACCTTTTCACTGTCTTAGAGGCGAGCCCACAGCAAAATCACACTATCCTTCATGGAAGACTTTACTTTGCCTAAAATTTTATTACCCTGAAAGAAAATAAAGGCAAGTAGTTAATTTCATGAACAATTCCAGATGTTTACAATTGGAATATTTATATCTGGAAAAATGATAGCACATTTGCCCGTGTTTTTTCCCTTAACTTAGAGGCCAACACAGATTTGGGAAGCTATTAACAAGCCAGCCCAGAGTGAACAGGCACCAGATTGGTTCCCTCTGAGTCCCCAGCCCACAGGCTCGCTGCTCCTTCTCTGCAAGAATTGTGGAGATGGCTGCTGTGAGACACAAGTTTGCACAGCCTCTGCTGCTGGTCTGGTGTAAAGTGCCACTTGTCCTCACCTAGCTGGGTGGCAGCTGTCTGAAAGGCGGTAGGCTGAGGCAGAGAGTGAGCTGCAAGGAACAGGAAGTGGGGGGTTAGGCGAGATGGGCAGGTTTTCCTTTAGGAGTGAGCAAGCCTAGCAGATAGGGAAGTGGCACACCCAGTGGTTTATGCAGCTGCATCTGTTTGTCTCCTCTCCTCCCTCCGACTTCAGCTGGCCTCTTCTCCCCCAAGGGTGCAAAGTTGTCTGTCCTGCAGCTAAACACCAATGAACATTTGTGTGTCGAGTTTGAGTTTCTGTCCAAACTTAAACGTTACAAGCAGGTAAGAAGACAGCTCCTGAGTGGATTGCGTTCTTCTGAGGTACCAGTACAGATTTGTCCCCAGATTTGGATGAGACGGTGCTAACAGGATGGGGGTGGGGGTCTGAGGAATTCAAGATGGCTGCCTCCAGGGGGGATGTGGTATCTGCTGTGAGCCATACAAGGAGACAGATCCTGATGTGCCCATCCCTGCTTTTTTTCTCCAACTTTACCCAGTTATTCATTGTTTTTATTTGTTTGATTCTATTTTATTTTGATTTTGGGGTCAGAACCCAGGGCCTTATGCATCCTAAGCACACTCCCTACCACTGAGCTGCCCCAGCCCCTTAGCTATTCATTCCTAAAGGAAGTTGAATTAGAAGACCACTTCTACAGTCCTACTGTTCCTGGAAGCTTGGTCCTTGACCCTAATGCCAATTCATGTCAATTTAATAATGAAGACATGGTTTTGAGAAAAGGAAAGAGAAGGTTTATTGCTTTGCAATAAACAAAGGAGAAACACAGGAGACTCATTCTGGGTTCTGCCCGAGGGGAAAACAGAGGGCTTTGGAAGAAACTTTTCAAAGACTGCATTTCAGATGTGCCTGGCAGGATCTCCCAGGTGTTCCCTGAGGTGTGTTGAAATTCACTTGTTAATTTGGGACATAGTCACTTCCTAGATCTTCCAGTGACATCTCCTTCCTGTGGAGGACTGATAACTCAAGGTAACCTTTCCTTTGCAGGTAGGTTAGGGAAGGGGAGAGGGGAAAAGAGGAAAAGAAAAACATGTCCCTTTTAAAATAAGCAGCAAGGGCTATATTTAAAAGGTGAAGTGGGCTTTTGTTACACCATCTCCTGGGTCTGTAACTTGAACTGATCCTGGGCCTGCCTCCAAGAGGAAAAACTACCTGGACCAAAGACCTGCTGTGGGTGGGGTGCAAGCAGATGAGTCTTGACAGTTGGGTCTGGTTTTGCTTTTCACAGCTGGAGGATAAAATGTTGGTCTTGTGTAGTTAGTTGAAAGCAGCGACTCCCAAAGCTGTTCCCTGGACCATCAGCAACCCTTGGGAACTTGTTAGAAATGCGTGTTCTCTGGCCCCATCCCAGACCTCCTGGAAAAAAATCTCTGAGGGTGGGGCCCAGCAGTTGGTGTTTAAGGACCCTCTGTCTAACCTGATATAGGTGCTAGTTTGAAAAACTACTGGTTTAAATTTGCAGATGATTGCTTTAAAACAAATTAGATCTGCCAAAGACATAAGCACCGAAGGCAGAGCCCCCCTCAATGTTAAGTGAGGACCCCAAACTTGGCTGCTATGTGGAGGGCGAGGACCTGGTGCCTTGATCTACTTAGAAGCAAAGGACCCCCCAGCCCCCTCCACCAGGTCATTAGAATGGGGTTTACTCTGGAGGCTGAGGTGGAGCATCACCTAGGCCGGGAGTGTGAGGGCAGCCTGGGCAATGCAGCAAGGCCCTATCTCTCAAAATTTTTTTTAAAAAAGGAGTTGGATTCTATATCTGTACTATCTGGAAGGTAGCTCAGTACAAACGTATCTCACTGCAGACCCAGGGTGAGAGGGATGTCTACTTCTCCCTCTGCTCTTATGTGCTTCAGAACATTCTCCACAGAGACCCCCCACTATGCCTTGTAAGAGGAAGAGTCAGTGAACAGTATATAGCTGCCTCTTGTGTTCCAGGTCCAATAGCCTCAAGCCCTCCAGCTCAGGTCACTTATGCCCATTGTTCGGGAATTCCAGAGAGCTGATGGGAGGGGGAGGGCTGCTTCCACTGTCCACCAGATGTTCTGCAGGGGCTTCTGTTCTGTTCTGTTTGGGTGCCAGGGGTGGAACCCAGGGCCTTGTGCTTGCTGAGCTCTGAGCTCCTGCTCTACCACTGAGCCACACCCCAGCCTCTGCCCTCCTCCTCTGCATTTGACAAGGCTCTCTACTGATGAGGCCAGCCGAGGTTTCTTAAAGCAGGCAGGAAAGACCAGAGAAAAGCAGAGGAAGACACTGTGCCTCCAGTTTCAGATTCTGCTGTGGTAGTTGTTTTATTCCTACTTCTGACTGGTTTGGGGGGAAGGTAGGGATGGGATCCTGTGGGCCCAGATGGACGACAGGTGTGTGTGACCCACCCAACCTCCCCTCCTCCCTTCTCTTCAGTGGCGTTTTGCCTTCAGCCACTTTGTGGTAGAACCCGGCCAGGAGTACGAGGTGACTGTTCACCACCTGCCCAAGCCCATCCCTGACGGGGACCCAAACCACCTGTCCAAGAAGCTCCTTGTGCCAGGTAAGAGCCTCCTCCTAAGCCATTTCCTCCATCATTCAACTCTGGGATGAGAAGCTGGCAGCAGGGGCAGACAGCAGCCTCCCTGCTGCGTTCAACCACGGCTTATCGCCAGCATGTGGTACCCACAGAAAGAATAGGCGCCCGGGTCTGGGAGCTCCTCAGCGTGAGGCTCAGCCTCCACCCCTTGAAGGCAGCCCCTTCTTAATTGGCCAACACTGGATATGGGCCCAGGATCCCAGGAGTGTGATGGGAATAAGAGCCCTTCCCTCTATCCAGAGAACTAGCTGGAGCCCAGAAAATGTCAGGAAGATAAGTCACGCTGGGAAGAGCGGTGGCTCCTGCTCTCAGCCTAGTTCCAGTCACATTCTTCATTCCCGCCCCCCCACACACACACCCTGTCTGCATTTGTCCCACCCATCTCCATTATCCCACTTTCTTCTCTCCCCTCACTGACCCATCCTGCCTGGGATCACTGCCAAGTCTATCTTCTAAAGCATACTGGACACCTTCTATCTATGTCACCTTCTATACCTCTGTCCTCCCCTGAATCTCAGCCATTTCCTACATTTCTTGTTCAAAGCCAGGTACATCTAGAACCTCAGCCCACTGAGGACAAGGTCTGAGTCTTCCACACTTCTGTACTGTCCAGAACCTCATAAATTGCCTGGTCAGGAAATGCTTGGTTTTTTTTTAATGCTAAGGATCTAAGCCAGGGCCCTGGGTGTGCTAGGCAAGCACAGCCTACCGCACTCCTCCCCTGGCCCAGAAAATGCTTGAAGGTGGTGATGACCCTCTTTTTACAAACACACACACATACCCCAGTGAATCAATGATAGTCACTGTTCTCTGACATTGTTCTCATACATGCTCTTGGTTTGCTCTTAGTGGGCTTTTCTTCTTCAGTGTCATCTCCAGAGGGCAGGGACTTTGTCTTACCCACCACAGTGTGTGTGTTCAGTGCCCAGTGCCCAGGATAGTGCAGGGCTTGTAGTAGACTCAATAGGTCTTTGTTGAATGAACAAATCTCCCCACCCCGCCTCCTGTTCCTAAAGTAGACTGACTCATCCTGTCCCTCTAAGGTAGTTCAAACTTGCCACGTGTCTTTTTAAGCCAAAGTAAAAGCATTATAATCAAGGAGATTGGAGAAGACGGATGCTTTAGTCAGTTTTTTTGCTGCTATAGGACCTGACAAGAATAATTTAGAGGAAGAAAATTTTATTTTCGGACTCACAGTTTCAGTGTACTGTCCATAGGTTCTCAGGGCCTGAGATAAAGGAGGACATCATGGCAGAAGAGTGTGGCAAAATAAAGCAGCTAAACACACAGTGCCCAGGAAGCAGAGCTCTTCTCATGACAAAATATAAACTGCAAAGGCACATCCTCAGCGCCCCACGTTCCCAGTGCTCCACCTCCTCCAGCCACAACCTGCTTTTGGTTCCCACCCAGTTAATCCCTTTTGGGGGGGGTTGATTCACTGGTTGGGTTAAGGCTCTCATAGCCCAACAGTTTACCTCTAAATCTTCTTGCATTGTCTCACACATGACTTTTAGGGGACACCTCATATCTAAACCATAACAAGGGACCAAGAATATCACTGTTGGGCAGTGATCCTCAGTGTGGTCTGTGGACCAGCAGCATCAACAGATTGTCTGGGAACTTGTTATAAATGCAGATTCTCAGCACCCACACAGATCTGCTGAATGAGGAACTAGTGATGATGATGTCCACAAAAGCTTGAGAATCTTCTGTGGGGACCAAAGTACTTCTCAGCCTATAAAAAGGCAGAGGCATCTGTGGGCCAGGAAGCTCCTGGTGGGGAGAGAAAGAACTAGAAGGAGCAAGACTGTGGCTACCCAAAGTGCGCTCAGGAGGCATATACTAGAATCAGGAAGGTTCTCTGAGAGAGAAGGGCTGAGATGGACAGGTCACTGCCAATACACTGGATCTTTGGCCAGTGGCAGCAGTCCAGTCCTGGAGCTTGCTATAAAGGGACCGTCTTTGAACAGTCTTCCCAAGGAACATGATTTTGGCTGCTGTTGCCCAGAGTCTGGAAGAGCAGACTTCCTGAGGCAGAGGCTTAATTGTTTCTCTTTCTGGGTTGGCAGATTGTGAGGACTTCAGGATGAAGATAACCACGCCATGTGTGAGCTCAGGTAACTGGCTGGCCTGGGAGAACTGTACCCAGTGCAGACACATGCACGTGCACACACATGGGCGTGCACACCCCTTCTCACTCCCAGCCCACATCTGCGCCCCTGACAGGCAGCCTGTGGGACCCCAACATCACCGTGGAAACCCTGGAGGCCCACCAGCTGCGGGTGAGCTTCACGCTGTGGAACGAATCCTCCCATTACCAGATCCTGCTCAACAGTTTTCCACACATGGAGGACCACAGCTGCTTCGAGCACATACAGCAGATACCTGAGGTAATGGTCACCCCTCTGACATAGCTCCAGAGCCCAACACTACCAAGTCAGGAGTGGCCTGGGCGCCCAGCGAGCTGTAGAGTTGGTCTTTCTTTCCATCTTTTAGCTGATGAAATAGAGTCAATTCTGCCCTGCCCACCACCCCCTGTCCTTTTTGTTCTTCCTTCCCCCATTCTTCCCTTATTCTCTATTTTGCTGTTTTTATTCTATTTGATTCCAAAAAGGATTTATATGTGTGTGTGTGTGTGTGTGTGTGTGTACACACACACACACACACAAACGCACTGGGGATTAAACCCAGAGCCATTTCACCACTGAGCCACATCCCCAGCCCTTTTTAATTTTGAGACAGGGTCTTGCTAAGTTGCTTAGGTCCTTGCTAAGTTGTTGAGGCTGGCCCCGAACTTGAAGACCTCCTGCTTCCTGTGTTGCTGGGACTACCTCAGTGGCTGGGTGTGAGCCACTGAGCCTGACTCCAAAAAGGATTGAAGATTAAAAAAGAAGAAGAAATGTGGGGATTAAGACAAAGGGGTCCTACAGATAAGAAATAAGATGAAGCCAGGTTAGTGCAGAAAAGATGTGCTGTGTGGTCTGTGCCCCTCTGGGTGTGAACACAGATGTGTCCTACAGTCCCCAGCAACCACGCAGAGGGGGAAATACCAGTTACTACTGTGTTTATCAGTTGACAGCAAACCACTCGCCCTGCAGAATGGTCGATTTTTCTGGAATAGAAATCTGAAAAGCGTTTCCCCCTCTGGCCTTCCTGAGAAGTGCATTTGGTCCATGAGGGTGATGTCCCCACAGCTTCCTTGGGGATGTGATGCAGCAAGTTCATATCCAACTGGCCTTTTCCGTCCTCCTCTCTGCAGCCCAAACAAGAGGAATTCCACCAGTGAGCCAACCTCACTCTCCCGCTACACAGCTCTAACTGGTGCTGTCGCCACCGAGTACAGGTGGGTGGGCATGATGCACACAGGTGTGGGAGAGTGTGCACAGGTGGGCCTTCCTGCCAGGGGGCGAGGTAAGCAAGGGCAGCTGTGGGCCTGCGCTGTATCCGGCCCCAGCACCGCTCTGTCTGTAATGCCCTGGCAGGGAAGGCACCAGCCTGCCTTTCAGCTGCCCTGTTCTCCCAACCCCACCTGGGCAGGGGACCTTTGACCCATTGCACAGATAGAAGATCTGGTTCAGCAGCCCCTGGAAAGATCTTTGGGTTTCTTGATAGAGTGTTTTAACGTTGCCTAGGCTGGACTCAAAGTCCTGGGCTCAGATGATCCTCCTGCCTCAGACTCCTGAGTAGCTGGGGCTACACACAAGCGCCAACACGCCCAGCTCAACAGCCACATGGAGATCTGGCCTAGCCACCCAGGGTCCATTACTTGCAAATGGCCCGTGCTGTTGAGAAAGCATGGGGATGGGTGTATGTTGCCACCTCTCAGAGGCCCTCTTCCAGTTCTTCCTCTTCTCTCCCAGGTCCAGCCCTTCTTCAACAGCTGCCTTAATGACTGCCTTAGACACACCATGACCATCCCCTGCCCAGACGTTCCAGAGACTTCAGGTAAGAGGGACACCTCTGCCCTGGGTTGTGTCTGTCTGGGGTGAGGTTGGGTGAAGGTCATCCCCTGGAGCTGAGTCCTGACCTGGTCCTAGGTGTGGCGGAGAGGTGGGGAGGGTGACTTAATTTGAGGACACTCTCCTGAGCTTCACTCCCCACAGCCCTTCATAAGCTGTGTGGCCTTGGGCAGAGTTTGTGGCTTCCTTGTCCTTAACTTCCTTGACTGGATGATGGGGTTGTTACTAGCACACAGTTACAGTTAGGCACCAGTAAAATGGAAGTGCTTTACTTCTTACAAATTGCAAGTCACAGTATGGTGAAGTTGAGACTCCCCACCCCAGGCTCACAGATGAGGAAACTGAGGCAGAGATGTTAAATAGCTTGTTCCAGATCACATGCTAAGGTGGTGGAGAGCCCCAGCTTCCTACCTGAGCCAGTTGCCTACTTCTCCTTCAGAAGCCATGGGTCTCCAACTCCCACAAAGCCATCGCCACATGCCAACTGCACAACAGCAGACATGGCACAGGCTGGAAGAGACCTGGCCTCCTGGGTGGGAGGTGAGGCACCTCTTCTTAGACCAACAACTGAGGGTGCTTCGTGTAGGTGGCTGCATTAAGTTTGACCCATATCCAAAGTACTGGGTATAGGGTTAGGGTTAGGCCCTCCGTGGACATGAGTGATGGGTTTTATAATTACTGCTAATAATTAAGAACACTCTTTTCTCTTTTTTCTTTTGTTCTAATTGCAGTCACAATTGCAGGTAAGCTCAGACCCTTTCCCACATTCCCCAGGGGTCAGAGGAGTTCCTGACTGAGCCTTGTACCCAGCCAGGCAGACAAGGCTGAACCTGAGGCTCAATGTGTCCTGGTGCAGGCCAGAGAGGACAGAGCCAGGGACTGGGGAATGGCGCTGGGACCCCTGCCTGTCACTCACGCTGTTCTGCTCACCACAGATTATAAATCCCTGTGGGTGTTTGGCTGCATCTCTGTTGTGCTGGTGGGCTTCGTCATCCTGCTGGTGGGCTTCGTCTTCTTCCTGAAGACCAAATGCACAACTTGGAGGCAACATGGTAAGTGTCAGAGACTCTGGGGCTGGCGGGGGGGCTTCCCCTTTGATCCTCACTTCTCCCCTCTGTCCTTCCTTCTCCTTACAGCATCAGCCTTACCCCTAGACCTTCTCTGTAAGTCTGTGCTCACAGGGTGCCCTTCAATCCAGCTCTGTAATCTCAGTCTCAGTAACTATAGTTGCCTCTCTTAAACCACAGTGGTCAGGAACCTAGAATGAGGCGTCTGGCTGAACCTGGACGCAAAGACCAGCTTCACCACTATCTGGGAAGATCACTTAATTCTCTGTGCCTCAGGTTCCTCTTTTATAAAATGACAATGATAATGATACCCACATCATCAGGCTATTAAAAGGATTAAGTGGAATAATGCACACAAATTCTTAGCCCAGAACCTGGCACATGATATTTGCTTAAGAGCTATTAGCCAGTTATATCATTATTAAAAATAGTATTAATGAAAAATCAATGGGTTTGAAGAAACTAGAGAAAATTCCCCTGCATCAGGATTGATCCACCAGGCAGATGGAACAGCTGAACAACCCCATCCTGTGGCCCTCAGACTTGTGTGTACATGGTCAGGGAGAATAACACGGCACAGCAGCATGTGATAGAGAAGTCTCAGTCTCTGGACCCTGAACCCACAACTGTAGACCCTGCTGTACTCACCAGCTTTGCAGTTATAGGCAAGTTACTTAACAAATTTTTGGTTCCATTTTCTTTTCTATAGAATGAGATAGTAATGCCTCTCCCAGGGCTTTGTTGGGATTAAATGAGATACCAAGAAAGGTACCTGCTGGTGGGCATCAGTACATAGCAGTTCCTTCTCCCTCTGCACTCCTCTGTTGGTCAAATGCTAGTCAAGGAGAACATGTGTCATAGGTTAGGAGACTCAGTTTTTCCCTGCCCCACTGTGACTCTAGGCTGTTTCTTCTGTCATTTGGGAAGTTGTTTCACACTTGTGAGGCAAGCTCCCTACCACTGAGCTACACCCCAGCCCCTTGGTTTGGTTTTAATTTAAGGAGGAGACACATACTTCTGAACTATACCACCAGCTGCTATGGCATTTGTGACTTTCCTGAATTGCCGTCTATCCCAGGAAAATCCTCAGTAGTTATCAGAGTGTCTTCTGGTAGTTCTGAGGTGAATCCCTAAGAGTGAGGATTAAAATTAAAGTCTAAATTTCTAGCTTGGGAACTGAAGTGTAGCTCAATGGTAGAGTGCTTTCCTAGCTATGCAAGGCTAGGAAAAATAAATAAATAAATAAACAAACTCTGATAGATGCATGGGTTACATCAGATGTATGCTGTGGTTTCTGAGTCCCTTCAAGAGACCCACATTTTGGACCTATCTTCCACCACTCCACATAGAGGGCTTTTCGGGCCACCCAAAAAGAAAGTTCTGGTATACCATGTTTTCAATCAGACAAGGAAAGGATGTTGAATCTATTGCATTATGTGAAAGAAAAAAAAAAGTCTTTCCCTGAGCAGACACCTCTATTCCATAGCCAAGTCTTTGTGCCCCTTTTTTTCCAATTAAAATGTTTAAAGGATCAACTTAAGGGCAGATGGGATTGTGAGAGAGAGAGACACCAAGCTGATTTTTTTCAGGCATCCCAAATAAGCAACATTTGGCTTATCCCCAATGGCTTATCCTCAATGGCCTAAGAAATGGTTGCATTTATTAGGCTAGGGAGTCAATCTCTGCACTGGGTCCAGGTCCTTCACAGACTGGCCAGCAGGGGCTCCACCTGGAGCCTGGGTGTGAGGATCAAGCATGTGGCCTTGCTTCTCTTGTTTTCCCTAGATGTCGCTGCCGATGAACTGACCCTCCCAATCCCTGATCCCTGGGAAAGTCTGGCGCATCTGAGGAGCTCACCATCCACTCTACGTGACCGTGCTCCTAAAGGTCACCGTTTCTACTAGCTCCCCTAGCCCACTTGACCCTCCTGGCTCACCCAACTCACTACCTGGCCCACCACTTCAAATCTTCAGCTTAATTTTGCTGGACATACTATTTTTGGTTCACATCCATTTTCTTCCAGAGCTTGGTATGTATTACTTCAGGACCTCCTAGCTTTTAGGATCAGTGTCCCTGACCTTGGATGAAAAATCAGCCAAGATCCAGATTGGTTTACCTCTAAATGGTACATTGGTTTACCTCTAAATTTATATCTAAATGCCACCTGCACCTCAGGGCATTATTTTCCAGGATATGCAAAAAAAAATGAAAAAAATTGTTTTGCTCTACTCATGGTCTTTTTATACCTTTTCTCCATGGTCAACCTTGTTTTCTACATTACATATTTTGTCTTCATTTTCTGAAACTCTGTCTTCCAAGTGATGTAGCCTGTTTTTGATGCTTTCCAACAAATTTTTAATTTGGTTTATTGGTTCCTTCATTTAAAGGATTTCTGATTGATTCTTCTTCAGAATCTCTATCTCCGTATTGAAATGATCTTTCACTTCTTGTATTTTCTCTCTATTTTCACTTCTTACATCATCTTTTACCTCAGAGATCAGTTTAACCATGAACTTTCTAAGTTTCATCTCCAACATTTCCTCCACTGTGGTGTCAATGGAGTGTGTTGTTGAGGTTCAACATATTGGCTTAGGAACTCACTTCCTTAACAAAACTCCTAAATCACAAGAAATAAAATTTAAAAATCATCCCTGGCATCAAACAAAAAAGCTTCTTCTCAGCAAAGGAAACAAGAGTGTAATAAGAGAGCCTATGGAATGGGAGAAAATCTGCCACCTGTACCTCAGGGCATTATTTTCTAGGATATGCAAAAAAAAAAAAAAAAAATCAAGAAATTTAACACCAAAAAAAAAAAAAACTCCATCAAGAAATGGACAAAGGAACTAAACAGACACTTCACAATGACCTGTGAAATATGAATGATCAACAAATATATGAAAAAGTGTTCATCTCTAGCAATTAGAGAAATGCAAATTAAAATGGAAGTGATTTCATCCCACTCCAGTCAGAATGGCCATTATCAAGAATACAAGCAACAATAAATGTTGACAAGGATGTGGAAGAAAAAGGATACACTCATACATTGTTGATGGGACTGCAAATTAGTACAACCACCCTGGAAAGTGGTATAGAGATTCCTCAAAAACTATAAATGGAATCACCATATAACCCAGCTATCCCAATCCTTGGTATATATTTCAATGGATTTAAAATAAGCACACTACAGTGTTGCAGCCATATCAATATTAATAGCAGCACAATTCACAATAGCTAAGCTATAGAACCAACCTAGGTGCACTTCAACAGAAGAATGGATAAAGACATTTTGGCCTATATACACAAATGAAATATTATTCAGCCATAAAGAATGGCTTTATGACATTTGCCAGTTAACAGATGGATCTGGAGACTATCATGCTAAGTGAAATAAGCCAATTCCTAAAAACCACAGGTCAAATGTTTTCACTACCCCAATAATGCATAAAACAAGCCTGAGCCAAAACCAAGAGATTCGTAGGCGCCAGACCCTATGACCTACAATAGGAAGCATCTTAACTCATAGGTGTGTTACCAGAGAGATGCATGCCAGCCAGCCCACGATGTTTCATGGGACAAGAACCTCAGCTTTAAACCAATGCAGCTGTTACCTTATTGTATTGAAATAGCACAGAGTATCTCAGGATATGTACTGTGCAACATCACCAAATATGAGGTGGTTACCTATACTTAGTGAGATAATCAGAAGAAAGAAATGTTTTTCTTAATAGAGTTATGAACAACACTACAGATAGCTGTCAGAACAGATAGCTGTCAATGAAGACCAATTTAAAAGGCCCCAAAACATCTCCCAAACAGGGTTGCTGCTGTTGCCTGAAATTCATCATTAATGGTTTGCTCCATAAGGCACTGATTCTCTTGGGAAATGGTTATCCACAAGATAGTATTGCAATATCCCATGAGTCAAGGATGAATATTTAGACAAAGGCATTAATCTTCAACAAATAGCTGCAATATAGAAATATTTTAAGAAGAGGTAGGAGAATACAAGAAGGTTCTGATCCTACTCCACTGTTTAAGGGGAATCCACTTTGATTCTATTCCTGGGTAGCCATTACATGGAGCTCACAGGTTCGATGAAGGAAATAAAAGAACTCCTGCTGAATCCTGGGAATTCCTCATAAGCACCATGCTCTTTCTTGCATACAATTTTTGCACAAGTTTTTCTCTCTCCATGCAAGTTTCTTTAACTAATGTCAGTTTTCCCTCATTTTTCCTGACTGACAATGTTTTAAGATCGGTAAAATTACCTATTATTTTATTCCCATAACAAACACAAGAATATTATTTATGCTCCAGTTTTCAAATTGGAATTAGAAATATGCCAAAAATAAATCCCACATAAGTCACCATTTTGCCTAGGCCCCCTCCTACCTTACTAAAGGAAGTTTATTTCCCTAATGGGTCTGCACCAATGAGTTGCAAATATATTTGGTTAGAGAAAACTACGGACAATCAATATAATCATATGTTACAATTGCATGCATAAAAACTAAATCCACACTTATGAAAAAATTAACATTTTACTAAAAAAATCAATAATAAAATCCAAACAAACATCAAAAAAAAATGTTTTCACTAATATGTGGAAGCTAAACCACAATAAAGGGGTGGGGGAAGAAGAGAAGTTCAGTAGATTAGACAAAGGGGAAATGAAGGAAAAGGAGTGGGGATAGGAATAGGAAAAACAGAATGTATCTAACATAATTTTCCTATATATACATATGAAAATATCTAAGTGAATCCCACCATTATGCCCATCCACAAGAATGAGGTCCTAATTAGAATAAGATATATTCCATGCTTATATAATTTTATCAAAATGGAGTCTACTGTCATGTATAACTGAAAAGAACCAATAAAAAAAAAGCTGAGAAAACAAATTAATAAAGTTCTCTGTTTCTGATCAGCCCCTGTGGTGCTGAAATGTCCCTCAACCTCCTGGAAAAACAGGTCATCTCAGAAGTAGGGGTCATGACCTTGGTGGGCAACCAGAAGCAGGAAGTGGTAAACAACTCCAAGTCATCATCCTGCCTGACATTGGTGATGTATGCTTATAATCCCAGCTACTCAGGAGGCTGAGGGAGGATGAACCCACCACCCAGCTGCGGTGTGACCGTTGGAAGCCCACTGGGGACCTTTTCACAGCGTCCATGAACACGATCCTGCCAGACTTCAAGAAGCCAGCCTGCTTTGGCACCTACATCATCTGCTACTTCACTGGCATCAGCAGTGAGAGCGATGTCCCTGACCTCTTCAACATCACCTCCAGGTACCCTCTTATGGACAAGCTAGAGGAGGTTTACTTCCGGATCCAGGACCTGGAGATGTTTGAACCTGGCCGGATGCACCGCCTCCAGGAGCTCACGGGGAAAATTACCTGCAGAGCCCCAGTGGCTGGCAGCTCAAGGAGGCCGTGGATAAGTTCCGGGAGTGGCAGACCCAGTGCCTTGACTGGTTTGAACGTGAGAACCTTTGCTCCACTGATGACCAGAACCTCCCATCCCTGGACGAAGAAGTGTTTGAGGAGCCACTGCTGCCGCCAGGGAGCGGGATTGTCAGGCAGAAGCCCCTGGTGCGGGAACCTGCCTCGGAGGGCTGCCTGATGGTAGATTTATGCATGGGTGAGGAAGGAAGGGGAATGTCGAGGGTGGTACCCCAATTGCAGCCCCAGGGGAGGCCATCCAAACTGTGGTGCTCCCCAGAGAGCAGGTCCCTGCTGCTTGTGCAGTGGAGCTGGTTCCTCTTGCTGACAGCAGCGAGGCCAGCCGGCTGACCTTGGTGGAGGAGGGCGAGGCCTGCCCCCTGCTGGAGGATCGTGGCCTCCAGAGAAAGAACATCCTCTTCCTCCCCGTGGACCCTGAGGACTCGCCTCTCTGCAGCACTCCAGTGGCTTCCCCTGGCCACCTCCCCGATGGTGTGAGGGAGCAGCTGGAGGGCTTGATGCTCTCACTTCTGCAGCAGAGTCTGAATAGCCAGGCCCAGGGTGCATGGGAAGATGCTGCCCTGGTCCTCAAGGACCCCTCCATACCCTGTGAGGAGGAGCAGCGGCAGTCCGTGCAGTCGGACCAAGGCTACATCTCCAGGAGCTCCCCACAGCCCCCTGATGGGCTTGGGGAAATGGAGGAGGAGGAGGAGGAAGAAAAGGACCTAGGGAAGTCAGCTGAGCAGCTGTCTCCTGAGCTTCTGCAGGACCTGAGGAGCCTCCAGCAGCAGCTTTTCTTCCAAGATCTCCAAAAGAACTCTGGCTGGGACAGTGTGGAGTCAGAGAGGTCTGCTACAGAATAGCAGGCCGCTTCCTAGGGCCTCCCATGTCCCGAGCCTTGAGAGGGTATGCGTGTGCATGTGGGTGTTTATGTATGTGTGTGTGTGTGAAGCATCTGCCTTTAAAATGTAGGTGTCTTATCAAGCATGGTGGCATGTCCCTGTGGTCCTAACTACTTGGGAGGCTGAGATGGGAGGATCAGTTGAGCCTAGAAATTCAGGATCAACCTGTGTAACAGCAAGATCCTGTCTCAAAAATAAATTAAGGAGAATAAAATGTAGACATCCTGATTCTGATCCCAGTACCCCTCCTTAACTTTTCTTTATGTGACCATCTTGTGTCCCCACAAGAAGTCACAACCCATTCCCAGGAACTCGTGGATGAGTCATTCATTGATTCATTCAGCATTTATTTGGCATCCACTATGTGCCAGGCATTTGGGATACAAAAGTATATTGCACATGCCGCGGCCTTGGCCACCAAGGAGCTTAACATCTAGTGAGAACCAAAAATTAGCAAGCGTGGAATGGGGATGAAGGAACAAGGTATAAAGACTGAAGAGAGGCCTGGCAGGGCCCTGGCCCAGGGAGAAGCTGGTTTGGGGGAATGTCACAGTCCCAGGGAAGGGAGCAGCCTGGGGGGTGAGTGCTGGTGGTGGGGGGCAGGAGACATGTGGATGGGGAGGAAGCCAGAGCTCGGGGTGGAGAGAACCTTGTAGGCCAGGCTGGGAGCTGGGACAGCAGCCCAGAGGCCTGCTGGGGACGCCTTTCATGAAAGGTGAGCTGATGCCCTGCAGGGGAGGGGACTGTGTGCCAGACATGCCTGGAAGTCACCTCAGATCAGTTTTTAAAGCAGACAGGATAGAACGTGTGATGTGAAACCTAACAGCATTCAGCAGGGAGAAGAGTCTGGAATCCTGAGCTCACTGACTGGCCACCTGTCAGTGGGAGGGCTGTGGCCCAGCATTCCTCAGGGCTGCCTGCCTGGACCCTGGGCTGAAGCCCTGAGCTCAGGAAGCACTGGGCAGGGGGGGCAGAGTGAGGTGCGGTGTGGGGCGGGGAGGGAAGGCAGTGGAGATCTAGGCAGGCCCTTTGGGGACAGGGAACGTGTGCTGCTGTGTACCTGAAGGTCTGAGGTTCAAGACAGCATTTGAGGAGAGATTCAGGCCCCAGTTTGAAGGCAGTTTTCCTCAAGCGCCTTCTTTGGGTAGACGGGAGCTGAAGAACACACAGGGGTGCCTCCGATCCTGGCCTCGAGTGCTGTCCACTCTGGGCATCAGACCTTCATGTCTTCCCAGCTTCAGCGTGGAGAGGACTCTGATAGGACAAGAAGCCAACATCACAAGGTGTGTGTGGGCCTGTGTGTGCATGAAAGAGATTCAATAAAATGTTAACTCTGCCAAGAATTCCCACTAGTTATTTTGAGTCACATGTTATTATAGGCCTAGAAATTCCTAGTTGAACTGTTCTTTCTTGCAAATAGAGTTTGCCTAGCAGCAGCACAATGAATTCCAAAGTATGCCCCATACTCAGTTCAACGGCCTCAAAGGACCAGATGAAGGAGATGAGCCCCTTCCAGCCACCAGCCTTTCAGGCTCCACCTCTCCTCTCTAGCAATCCTGGTAGTGAGCATTATTGCGCCCAGAGGCCAATTAACTTTCCTGTGACATTTCCCCATTTTCCGATAAATACAAACTAGATGTCTAGAGTGCAGGACACCATAGCAACTTTGCTCTTAAAAAGGCTTTGTTCAGTCACTTAAACATCATCTGGCAGTCTGAAACCAGGGCTCTGCCTGACAGCAAATTGGCCCAAAGCTATTTCATTGCTGGTTCCCTGAAGCAAACTTTCCATCTTGATCATAAACCTTGAAGTTCTAGCTGTTCTCAGAGGCCATGTCAATTAATGTCCTCAGTTGTCATTGTCCCATGCATACCCTTTATCTCCATGGTGACTGATTTTTTTTTTCTCTGACACTTTTTAAATACAAATTCTTTTAATAAAATGTATCAATGACAACTTCATGTTCAAATATAATGTTAAAAATTATGCAAGAGCATTTTATTATAATTACCAAGAAAAATTTGAGACTGCCAGTCTCTCTGCAGAAATGCTACGCACAGCTGCAAAATGATTGAAGGCTGGTATAATTATGAATCTTAGGTAAGTAGAAAAGCCATCTTGAGCCACAATTTCTTTATTTTCAAACAGCTTCCCTGTGTGTACAACATTATCTTCAATCCACTGCTCAAAATCAACTGGCTCGTTATATGTGCTCTTTTCAATCTTCAAGGTCCACACTAAGTAACTTTGGATTATAAACTTTTCAATCTTTATGTATTTGTAAAACAGAAAACTGGGAAACATCCTGTGATGGTCCAATATGTTTCTGGATTCCGAAATAATAATATTTTCCATCATTTGATGTAGCAAAAATCCCTTCAGCCCCTTCAGAGCTCCAACAGAGATCAATTTTCTCATCTTCAAGTGTTTAGCCTCCCCTCTTCTGGCCAACTGCCCTGCCAACCTACTCACCTGGGCCTCAGGGTAGCTCCAGGCACATGGGCCATCCTGCTCTTTCCCCAATATCTTTATGGAGCTATAATTCACATATCACACAAGTTACAATTGACCCTTCACAACTCAGTGACTTTTAGTATATTAAGAGTTTGGCCACCATCAGCACAATCAATTTTAGAAGATTTTTATTACCCAAAATAAAACCCAGCATCCCTGGGTTTTGGAGTGATGCTGGAACCCAAGGTCTCCATTCATGCCAGGCCAATGCTCTACCACTCAATGTCATCCTCAGCCCTAGGTCTTAAAAAGGCTTTGTTCAGTCACTTAAACATCATCTGGCAGTCTGAGCTGAGATCCCTGAAAGCAAATATAACAAATTTTACTTGGTTTCTGCTTAATTTTTACAATTAAATAGGGCACAAGAGTGAAGATGATGTAGTTAGGATGCAGTGGGTGGTTTTGATTCTGTAGTGTGTAGACGTTGAAGTTGGGGTCTTCCCATCCTAAGTAAATCAGGAGACTTTGAGGCCCTGTCCTGCCCTAGTACTTCCTGAGATGGCCTGCCAGCTGAGGGCCACCAGACACATGAGCTCTAAGCTAGGTAGGAGATCTAGAGTCCAAGAGAACTGCAGGCCAGGCTCTGAGTCTAGGTGTGCTGGAAGGTGGCAGTTACCACAGTCTGTTGCTCTTCAGCTAAGTGACCAATTAGGCCATCTTCCTCAGGCCTAGGTCACTCATCTCTAAGTTGGGCATGGTAGGAGTTCCCACCTCACCAGGTCTTGTGAGGAGTCTATGAAATCCACGAGAGGCTCTGAGGTGTCCCACACCCAGGAAGCACCCAATCCATGTTAGCCACTGCCTCTGCAGGAAGCCAAATGGCTCCTGGGTTCTCTGAACCCTGACCTGATCCTGAGGCAGAGCAGCTTGTGACTTGGGGTGCTGATTGGCTGCTTCTCCTGCTGTTATTTATTGCTTCTTCCCTCTAGTGTTTGCTTTTCCAAATTATAAAAGTAATCTATGCTCCAATTCTTGGTATATGTTAGGTGCTCAATAAATGTGTGAACTGAGTGAATATGTTCATGTGGGAAAACAGCAACAACACAGAGCCTATAGATTATATTACAGAAGAATATAAAGCACCTACCTCCAACCCCACATGTGCACCCCCACTTCCCCCATCACGTCACTCCCAATGGCTCCCAGGGTCATCTTGCTTTAGGCCACTCCCCAGCTCTCCATGCCTGGTGGCCTCCCCAGGTCCTGGCACTGGACCTCACTCTTGTCTATTTAAACTATTTAAACACTCTTGTCTATGTAAACACAGGTGGTCACCTGGTAGAGCCAGCCTTGTCCATTCATGGAACAGGAGACCCCCTGTCGTGATGTGAAGGGTGATAAGAAGTCGTGTCCAACATGCCCCCACTCCCTGGTACCTAGATTCCTTTTGGAGGAGGAGCAGCCCCTCGGGTTGTAAACACTGCAGTAGGAACTATCTTACTGGATCCTTCCAGATGTAATTGTGACCCAAGAGGAGGAGGGGAGGCAAGCTGCCACTGGCCAGCCCCCCACCTGAGCCCTCGCCCTAACAGGGTGTCCCACTGGTTGGCTTTGCTCTCCTCTTCCATGGGACTCACATAGAAATTGAAAAACAGCCCTGCTTTTTAGCCAGAACTGAGCTTCAGTGGAGGGAAAGGTGAACTGGAGGCTCCCAAGGTGCTGCAGATTCTGGAGGTGACAGACCTGGCTTCCCTTGCTGACTGCAGTGTGGCATTCACAAGCTACTTCATCTTCCCAGGTTGGTGGTAGTGGGGTTGGGGGCCCCAAACTTCCTCAGACCTCCTCATTGCAAGGGCCACAAAGTAGACACAAGGAAACAATATATCCTCCCCATCCCTGTCTCCTTCCCTCCCTCCATCTTCATCTGGAATAGACACATGAGGGGAAGAGTGGATTTGGGGTCAGTGGCCACTAACAACAGCCTAAAAGAGCCTGGTAAAGGCCCAAGGCACAGCACCCGCCCCCCCCTACCTGGATAACCCCTTTCCTCCATTCTCTCCCACAATGGATAGGAATTTGGGTGAGGCGGGGAAAGCAGGAAGCATAGTCACCCAGTCCGGTGGAGGTCAGTATTGGGGTAGGATATGGAGAAGGAAGCACAGGGTAAGTGGCTCCACCTCCTCCTCAAAATGAGACCAAAAGCCCTATTGCACTGGGGCCTCTTGATCAATCCCTTCACTCATTCTCTCTTCCTAAGCAGAATGCCACACTGCAGGTACCATTGTTCTGGGACCAGGCCCCAGGCCCCAGCAGCTGCAGCCACCTTCTGAGCCCAGTGGACTTGCCCTTCCTGGCCCTTCACTGCCTCCTGGTGGTGAGCAGCCCCTCTCCATCTTCATGCTCAGGAAGGAACCTCTTCTTTCTTGGATACCAAGACTTGGGGGCCTTGGAGAACTGTCAGGGTGTGTGGGGCCAGAAGTGGCTATGGTGCTCCGCCCTCCACCTTCCTGCTGTCTTGGCCATCTCAGGAAGGCTCTCAGCTGGGCCCTGTGCCTAGGAGAAAGAGAAGGTGCCCCATGGCTATGTCAACACTCTGGCTCTATGGCCTCCCGAATTGAGGGGGCAAAGCACAGGGGGCCTTGCTTTTGGGTTGAGAGTTTCCAGTCCCCTTGGCCTTCTGACCTCCCCTCAACTGCCCTGCATTTTCATCAGGCTGTGTTGGGAAGGGGAAACTTTTACTAGGGCTGAAG